ATTACAGCTGCAAATATAACTATTTGGTCTGATTCATCTAGTCTGTCTGATGGCACAATGGCAACATCCGCTGGCATTCTTGAGCAAGTAGACATTTGATCTCTTGACATTTTCAGACATTAGATTTCTGACATAATTTCAAGGAAAGCCAGTAGTTAAGCTTTTGAACAGGATGGGATAGAAGTAGATCCTCATTGAATTTTGGAAGCTTACTAGACGACTTCAGGCCAGTCACTATCTCATCTTCCTCCCTGTTTTGGTGAAATCATGAAAGAAGGAATGCTGTGTAGGCCACATTGAATCCTTGGAGGAAAGATGGGCTATGAAGCTATCCAATAAATAAACAGAACAATCAAACCCCCCAATCAAATTGAGCAGCTTTTTTGAATTCTTGCTTTTGTGAGGCCCTTCTGCACATTTCTGTACACATTCCGTTTATATGGCTAGCAGGAACTCCAAACTCCCTCTTCAAGTGTGCTTCCCAGTGTCTTTCTTACAATTCAAGCATACAGTGAAGATTTCAAACAAACTTTAGATATATTTATTATTTCATTATTTTTATTCTTTATATGTTTCTATAAAATTGTTTACTTGTTGTTTTTTAAATGTTACTTTTCTTTATTATTGAGATTTGTTTTTGCATTGCCTCAAGTGTCTGTATTTCAAAATGGAAAAGCAAGAACAAATGAAGGACTGAAAGAATGGATTAAATATTCCAGCATAGAATTAATATTAAGCTTTTCAACTACAATGAAAATATATCCATAACACTAACATCTTACTAGTACCTTAAATGATAGCCAATGCCCCATTTTTTCTTCAAGAACAGGGATGAACCAACACACTGCAGCCTCCCATGTGAGATAATAGCCTTCCGGTCTACATAAAGAGCAAACAGCATTTTTTAGTTTATCTCATCTGATAATAAGTTCTATTTGCCAAATGCAAAGTATTAAACATATAGTTGTTGGAGATTTAATGGAGTCGATGCAGAAAATAAAGCACTGGTTTGAGTTGAATCCATCTGAGATGGGCAGTAAGAAGTTCATAAATAAGTAAACAAACAAACAAACAAATAAATAAATATGAATTCAATCTATCTGCAGATAGAACAATCAATGTACTAGAAACAAGAAAGGAGGTAACAATGATGGATCTAAAAAGTCACTGAAAGTAAAAGGTGAGTAAGAGGTTCAACGGGCTGAGTAGGGGAGAGAGGAACAGCTGCAATACATGACAATCCTGAAATTGACAGGAAAAGCAGACTGATACATAGTGATATATGTGACTGGATTTAAGAAGTTACATGGATCAGCTGACTTAGTTCAATTCAATAAAAGGCCTTTCTGACTGATAAGAACAGAAGGAGAAATAATGGTATTTGAAGAAATAACATTACAGTAAGTACTATTTCTATAGTTTCTCTTTGTTCCTACATTCTAACCTACTTCAGCATGAGGTCTGCTCACCAGAAAGGATATCAGCTTCATCCATGAACTGGGTGGTGAATAAAATGACTCGACCTGCTTTGCGTTCATTCAGGAGAGACCACACTTGGTGTCTAGAATATGGATCCAATCCAGAAGTTGGCTCATCTAGTAATAATACCTACA